GGGGGGGGGGGGGGTGGGGGGGGGGGGGGGGGGGGGGGGGGGGGGGGGTGTGGGGGTGGGTGTGGGTGTGGGTGTGGGTGGAATGTGGGTGTGGGTGTGAATCTCGATTTCACTACACCACACCCACACCGACATCCCATACCCACACCACCCACACCGACCTCCCATACCCACACCACCCACACCCACCCGCGTCCACACCCACACCCACACTCTTCCACACTAACTATCCTTACCGAAGCACTGTAATATTTGCATGCGGTGTTTTGTTAGTTTATATCTCAGTCAAGTGATTGATATAGATCTTATAAATAATTTGATTGTCTGTTTAGTAACTTTGTGGATATTACCGGATTTCGATTTGGCTCGAAATAAATTCATTCCGATTGATCGAGTGGGTTTAATTAAGTCTTACACTTTATTTATGATTCCATATATATCATCAACCAGCGATTTATAAGCACTAGTGTTTCAACGGTAGAATGCTCGCTTGCCAAGCGAGAGACCCGGGTTCGACTCCCGGCTGGCGCAATTTTATTTTATTTTTGCAATTATGTAATTTCACTACAAGAGTGCAAATGAAAAGCTTTTCTCACGGAAATTGTGTTAATTGTTTTCGTTCTGTTTCGTGGTGGAGATTGTTGAAACTACTGAATACACCGAAGCACTATAATGAACAATCTGCGTCTTAGGGAAATAATTCAATTGTCAGATTGATATTAAATTCTTCAAAATCATGTTAGGAATGAATCATTTAAATTTTGTTCTCTCATAAATTCATATGTTCATGAAAGGCGTGATAAAATCATTTGAAATGTCTCAATTATTCCTGCTGCAAACATTTTTCATATAATTTTATTCATCATTAATACGACCAGTAACTATATTCATCCTATTCGTTCTGTATCATCCGAAATCAGCTAATTTCAACCTAGATTCATGGAAGATTAAGCACTATACCAGCCACTGCCTGTCTAATAATCTGGTGCCGACAAATCTGCGCTCCTGATGTATCATTGTAGGTACAATATGTGTGAATAACGTTCAGCAGTGGTGATTCAGCGGTAGAATGCTCGCCTGCCAAGCGGGCGACCCAGATCCAATTTTCAGCTAGTGAATTTTTTTTAAATTACGAAATTTCTTCTAGAAACGGACAGATAGAAAAAATCTAGACATCGTATCTGCTTTTCTGTTTCTTTTTCTTGTTTTCATAGTGGCACAGATCTATGCTATTTAAAAACCGAAAGTAATAGGTTGCATCGTTCTCTCCCTTTCATTCAATAGATTTCAAGTAGGAATATTGGTGTTTGTTTTTCACAATAATTATCATCTGCATAGCTATCAAATATTTTTCAGCATTTTGTTTAACTCTGAAGCGAATGATTGATATGGTTTTGGAATTCTATTGATTATCTACTGAGTAATGATTTTGATATTAGCCTATGCAGTAATAGACTAGAAATCAATTGATTTCGTTTTATTGATTTGGTTTTCATAAGTCTACCCACTTTATGTATAATTGTAGATAGAATAAGAACAAGTGAACTATAAGCACTAGTAATTCAATGGTAGAGTGCTCGCCCTCCAAGCGAGAGACCCGGGTTCAATTCCCGGCTGGTGCAATTTGTTTTTTTCAATTATGCAATCTCTTAGCACGATTGCGTATTGAAAAGCTCTACATATGGTTCTTTATACTCTTTTTTATTGATTGTTTTATGGTGATGCACGTCAGCGCCTTAAGCAGGACTTTTAGAAAATAGAAAAACCTTTCTTGTGTCAAAAGAAAAATTATTTGCAAAATTTTTATGGAGAGGGCAAAACGTTTTGGCCGAGCAAACTATTAATAATGCAGCAAAACCAAAAAGAGCAAAAATGAAAATGAGATTATTTTATTAACAAAAAGGAAAAGAAAGGAAATTCTTTTGGTACAAAAAAATGAAGTAAAAGTCACCTAATCATATATACATCAATCTCAGATTTTGTGCGTGAGTCAGATGTGTTTTAGTTTATTTTTTATGTCTCTGTTTATAAAATTTGGTTTTCAAATCCAAAAACACCGAAATTAAGACGACGATTATACATATTTGTGTATAAGTTCAATATTTCATCAGGATTGATATCGAGATCTTTATGAATACATGCAGCAGCAAGTCTGTTTAGCCTATTTCGTTTCATTGTATACAGACAATAGCTTTTAATTTTCAATGATTGACTGAAACTTCTTTCAGTAGAAGCTGTTGAGTCGAGCAAATGTTGCCAAGAAAATTAATAAATAACGAACAGTTGGATATATTAAGACAGATAATCGCGAATTCGTCATTGATGAATCAATTGTAACAAAGCTATTTCAAGTCGACAATTGTATACTGACCGCAACACAAGCATTTACAATAACAAATATCCTTGGCTTTATTTCATTACCAGATCAATCTAAACAGTTTGAAAAACTTCGGATTATATTAAGCAATGTTCTTCACCGTATGAGTTGGGTAGAATTGAAGGCTCGTCGTTTATTGGAATCTTGGTTGAAATGGAAAAATTCAAATGAATTATCGACATTTGCCTATCATGCAGCAGTTCTTCTAAGTAACTCTAATGTTTGGTCCATCGAAATCGCCACAATTATGTGTGATATTTTATGTAGTGATAATGATCACTTTCGTCATAGAGCTGAAATAATTTTCAGATTATCAAGTGATAAAGATGTTCGTACAAGTTCAACATTGGGTATTGACGTTTTATTGACTTTGTTTAAGAAAAAGGTCCATTATCAGTTAACTTCAGCATCTGCTAAACTTACACTAAATCAAATGATGGTAAATACAACTCTAGATATGCAATTTCATCCAGAAACAATACTTTGGTTAGAAAGATACAGAATTCATGCATTAATAAATCCTAAATACTGCCTCAACAAACCAAGACCATGGGCAAATTCTTATATATCTTCGTATTTTTCAACCGATATTCCAATTGATGCCTGCTCCTGCGTTAATTTATGTCGACTGTCTAATGATTTGGTAATATATATGTATGATATGATTGCATCGGGTTTCTTTGTATTTTTGGAGATCGATGGAGATACAACATCTGATGAAGTTTTAGAAAGTCACACTCAATTTATTGCTTCAGTAATTTTGACACTTTTTAACTCAATGAATACTATTGATGATACACGCCGATTAGCAGTCGACGCTCTTATGAATTTATTCGATACGTCCGAAAAAGAGGCAGTTCATCAAGCAATAGCGTATACCCTTGGTTATGTGTGTAGCAAACAAACACATGAAACCTTACTTGATAGAATTCTATTGGCAATGACCACCGACGGTGATGAAGATTCTACCTATTGTAATAATGTTTTGATTGCACTAACTTCAAGTTATGCTTATTGTGTATGTATAAACGAAATTGCATTTGATCAAGATGACATGGACTTATTCTATAGTTTGTTATAACACTCGTCTCAGGATGTTGTGACAGCAGCTCGTACAGAACTTGCTCGTATTCGAAAGGATACATCATTTCTAGTTGAAACACTTGCTTTTGATCATAGTCAATGTTATCATGCTTTGATTGGAGCAACTGCATACTTATTTATTTATGATGTTCAACAAAGTAGTGAAAATAATGTTGCAGAGTTTATTGAGGAATATCCAGATCTTTTACCAATCTTTACTGTTGAATTATACAATAGCATTCGTCATTTTACTACTAAAGTTTTACCAGTGGTTGACAATAATTATGTTTTAGATTACGGATATCCTTAATATGTGAAAGTTGCCAGTTTAATCGCTGTACGAATGCCTGCAGCATTTTGTGCTTTTATTAAGGATTGGGGTGATGGAGATAATTTGAAACGTGTATTGTTTTATATTAGTAAACAACATCATTTTCCACAACGTGCTGCTTGTCTAACTATTCTGTCGCTGTTAGGCGAGTTAACTGTCGATTTATGTGAGATGTTCATTGAAGCTTTATGTGATGATCCACATATTCAAAATACTTGTTACAAATGCATAACACATATTCGTTCTATTAAAGATGAACAGGTCGTTTTAAATCTTTTATTTTCGTATTTGAAATCGAACTCAATGAATGTTTGATATGTTACAGCAAAGCTCCTTCTTCATCTTTCTCAATTATCTCTTATTCCATTTCAACAAGCTCAAATAATATTGAATGATACTATGTTAGATCCTAGTTCTAATGAAGATCTACGGTTAATTGAAGAACAAGACGGTGTTTGGATAAATTGCACATATTACTATGCTGGTCCATTGAAAGATATTATTTGTTCCCTTCTCGTTCAGCAAATTATTGGTGATGCAAATGAACCTGTTCGAAGAAATGAATTCAATGATATTGACTTGAATTTCATTGAATCTGAAAAATCATCACATTTAGTTTCATGTCTTTATGAAACCAAAACTGAAGAAGATGCAGAACCTGAGAGCCCTCTAGCACCGACCGATTTAAATGACGGTGGTTACGGCTGAACTTCACTTTAAATCTTCTGTTATGAATATAAAACTGATGACGATGAATAACCAATAATTGAGAAGATCATAATCATTAATGATAATAAAAACGAGTCTTCATAGATTTGATATTGAATACAAATCAATACAACTAAAGAAGAAAAGTTATCCTATTTTTAGTTTGTTTTGCACTTTTTCTCTATAAATCAAGAATAAAAACTTATTTTTCTTAATAATAAAAAATATTTTTAAACTTAACCTAAAGTGAAAAACCATCATAAATATTAGAAATCATCAAGTAAATCTAATAGCAATCAGTATCATGCAAAAAAAGACAGTTATTGTAAAAATTTTAATTATTAACACACAAGATCTTCCTCTAACTCAAACAGACGGGAAAAAATCAATACATCTTTGCATATACGAATATAATTTTCGATTTTGTTTAGAAATTTCGCCAATGACGAAAGTCATGTGGACATTCGCTGACATACACCCTCGATTTTTGTCAACGTGAGAGTAAATTAAACATAAATGAAAAGTTTCCAACGCCTACAGCATGAAGTTTTGTTCTTCTATATCGTGTCCATAAATTTCATGTATCGTTCTAGATATTTTCTTTTGGAACAATGACTGTCGCAATTAGTACTGATGCACTACCTGCTCTGATCGATGGTGCAGCAACATGCCCATCAAATTAAACAATGCCATCTTATCCTCTAAACCTACAATATCTTAATTTTTATTTCATCGCAAAATTAACGTTTTTCTTCACGTGTTGTTTAGTCACATCCAAAATAGATGAATATATATGTGAAAGTACGGCTGATAGAATCTCGGTGAATCTTTTTTGACATAGTTCCGATAAATGGATAAGAGTTTTGTGTCAAGATTCAGTCAGATGTGAATTTATTGTTATTGCTCTGGTGTTCGTAGAAAAATGTTGATTGCGTCCTCATTCAAATCGACTCTCTGATTTGATTGATATGGGCGTTCACAGATGTTAGTGGATACAGCTCCTCAAGACCCAATTTGCGCCGTAATCATCGATCTCGGTATCAATTATAGTACTGTTACTAATTCTAGACGGTGTTGAGAAAAATACCAAGAACAAAATTCAAGAATTTGACAATAACTGTTTCAATAGTCGAAAATTCATACACTATTTATGTTTATTTCCAAAAACAAAAAGGAAACAAAAAATAAGTATTTAGATGTTCCTGAATTAAAAAAGAAAACAATATTTGTACAGATGTTGGTTGCATCACTTTTTTGACTAGGTCATTACGACATAAACAAAATTTTATGGTTTATTTCTTGGTTTGATCAAGTTTCAGGTGCAGGCTTGAATGATCAAGAAAACTATGCTACCATTGAAATTACTGTTTTGTTAAAAACGAGTTTTGTGCACTTATTCGTTTCTTTATATGACTTCCTTTTGTTTTTTTGGTTTGTGGTATTGACTGCATGCACAACTAGATGATGGAATTATTTGGTGGCAGGATGCAATATATTTTTATTTTCGTAATCTTTCTCATTTTGTCAGATATACCACGTGAGTAGTAGAATTCTTTTTCTCTGGTTCCTAGAATTGATAGTATATGCCAGGTTTACTTTCTATGCCTAGTATACTGTTCATCATCTGCGAAACTGTTTTTCCGATTGTCTAGTATTTGTATGCTTTGTTTGGCTATGTTTTATCCATTATTCATTATAATGATCTAAATTTTTTCTTAGCATAGAAAGTGCGGTCTTTTACCACTCAATATTGTGTACTCTTCAATGCATAGGCCTCACTTTGTTTCAATGAACAATGAATATCGCCTTTATTCGGGTATGTTGAATTAATTCTTTCTTTCTTTTTCGAAGGCCAATATTTTCATACTGGATATAAGTGTTCTTTAGAATCGACAGGAAAGTTACCCCTCGTTTGACGTTTGTTGCTTCAAAATTCTATTTTTAAAAGGAAATCAAAGTAATGATTAGATGTCTTCTATCGAATTTCAGAATAATGAATTTTTCCCATTTATTTTGAGTCGGGGGACATTTAGAGAGATTTCGTGTGAGTTCTTTCGCGGCATCCAAATCAAAAAAGATAGCTTGTGTATGTATTAGCTCAGTACTCCACATTTCATTCGTCAAAATTGCATTGATTGTCAAAAGAAAGTTTTCCAGTAGCATCACATGTGAGCCCCGGAAACTCAACTGTTTTTCGAGTATTCAATTTCGATATGTGAAGAGAGAGAGAGAGAGATTCTTAATCGAGTATTTGTTCTATTGTGTCTACTCTGTTGAAACGATGTATTTATAAACTCTCACAGATATTTGAGTATCAATTCTCGAACAATTATGTAGATACTTAAATTTCGAGCATTATATGTGAATACATTCAAACTCATATTCTCTTAGAGCAAAAGTCATCGAAATCAAGTTCTAATTACATGTAGTATCATTTATTGTACCCATGAGAATATAATAATCATTATATGAAACTGTGTGATACAAAATAGGAATTTCTAAGTTAAAACCACAAATATAGTTTTGCGTTTATAAGTGTCATGGAATAGCTGTTGATAAGTTGATCATGATGTATCATCGAGAGTACTTTGCGAACTGATTTATCACTAACATCTTGGAAACATATCAGTGTAATAAAATTAAGATTGTTAGTTGTAATTTCTTAATAGAAAAAAACTTGACAATTGATTCAACGTTATCTAGTTCAAGTTTTACATCGAGATATTGCACACATGGACAAGTACTAATGATAAGTTTAATGTCTTCTAGTGTCAGCTGAAGTGCTTCAACATCAACAGATACTTTTGTCATCTTGTTGCTGGAGATTATCGTGACACTATAAAATGGATCAGCTAATAACGATAGAGAATGAATGTTGGGTGCAATGTGTAATAGTTCGAGTAGTCGAGTAAAGCCAAGACCATTCCAATCGAAACCTATTTGTGTGAGTTGGATGTGGGTGTATGGGTGTGTACACAGTCGTCTAATACCACATACATACCGTATTATTCTAAATAGTGGCACGACAAACGACGAAGCTTAGGTAAATAGGAGAGAAGAGCAGTCAATTGACTGACATGGTAAAAACTATCCATGATTAAATATTCGATATTGCTATTTGATTATTGGTCATTTACAGTACGTGCTAGCAGTGGATATCTACCACCACTTGCAAAGAACAATTTTCCATAGATCAATGAGGGTGTGGGTGTGAGTGGATAAATTGCTAGATCGGACATTAGCAACCCCACTCACATCCACACCCCACAAACTTACACCCACACCCTCTTTTCGGATCCGAGCGTTGTTCTTCTAAGAGATTATTTTCTATTGCGGGCGAGGTTTAGGTTTTCTTTGTTGTTCAATACTACCATTGTGAATAGAAATTTATATTGAAAAAAACTTATATTCTTCCACTGTATGCAATATTCATATTCCCTGATACGTACATTTTTTTAAAGAATATTTATTATGCAAGGAAAAACATATAGTGCATGGAAAGTGTTAACAGAGAGATTGTTTAAAATGAAAGATAATTAAGTTGCTATGAGAACCATATATGAACTGATAATTTATCAAAACGATATGTAAAATTAAGTTTTTGACAACGTTGTATTTGGTCAAAGACAGCTCGAATATTGTGACAAGACTTTTGTACTTCTTCTGTATTAAAATTGTATGACATGTATCGAAATGATGCTGTCTTTAAATGTTTGAATCGATCGAGAAAATCAATCATTTCTGTTGTTGAACACGCATGATACATATGTAAGTGTTCAATGTTTGGAAAAACCATGGATAATATTTCAATACTATAGATCGAAGTATTTGTGCACAATTCACTTATTGTTAATCTCCGGATATTTTAAAATTTTTTAGAACAAACTCGCTCGAGAAAAATTTTCACCTCTTTTTTGATTGATATTTCACAGAGAGTTGACAATTCTCTTTATAAATACATCACTGGAAAATTTTTCACCGATAGATTTAAAATCAAATGTTATACTCGACAAAGATCAAGAGTATTTTTAAAGGTGGATATACACTGAGGGTAATCGATACCTAGTGTTTGAACATGAGGAAAATAATGATTTGTATTATTTGATATTGACGATAAAGTTAGTCTGTTAATAGTTTCGTAGAAAATTATATTATCGGATACCGTTGAACATATGGGAAACTGGAAATCTTCATCAACTTCCATTTGATAAAAGTGTGATACTGAATAAAGATTTTCGCGGCCACAGGCTACAAGCCAATGTTTTTCTTCAAGCCAAAATGACGTACGAAATGAATCAAGATCTTGAGATTCTAATGAAACTGATAGGTTAAACATGAAATTGAATGTGATAAGATGCTGCACTATCATTTGCCATCGTTAACCATTGACTACATCACGGTTACAATTAGCAATTAATATCAAATGTTTAAGACGAGGCAAGTTTGACATCATTTCTTCTCGATGAATCATTGAGATAGTTGAACCTGAAAATTCTTATATTATAACGATGATTTAGTATTTTAAGAAACTGACCTTCAATTTTTAGAACCAGTCGTTTCAATTGAGTCAATGGAGAAATAAATTTTGTAGTCGAATTATTAAGTGCAAATTTAGTTTCAAGTGATTTTAGTTGTGTTGCTACAGAACTAATATGTTTAACTATATCGATTGAAGATCGCTCGAGTATTAAATGTTGAAGTTGAGGAAATTGTATTGAATTCAAGAAATCTTCATGAGATAATTTCCATCGACATAGCTGAGGTAATATCGGACCATAAATATTAAATAAACGGCTATCAAGTTGATCGAGATCATTTCCAGTAATATCAGAAATCCACGAATTGACTCGGTTTGGTTGAGTATAGAAAAATGAGCGTAAATTCTTGAGTTCAACCATATTTTGTATAATATTTTCCCATAAATGTGGTCCAATATTAAATAATGTCAATGGCTAAAGATGAGTGAATTGATTGATTTGAAAATATGTTAAAAATAATTCTGCTAAACCAGGAGTATCTTCATCACTCGAGAGTATCAGCCCAATGACTCGATCAGGTGCAATATGCTTACAGACAAGACAAAATTAGGGTTTGAAATTGATTTGAAATTTACATAGTAATTTGAGTAGGTAATCAATACAGCATCAAGATAGGAGCTAACATTCATAAATGTATAAAAAATTTCATGATCCGAAAAATAACTGAATAAATCATCGATGAGTTCGACGGGTAAAATATCTAACCGGCAGTTACTCATTATAATGTAACAGATTTATAAAAAATAAATGTATTATTTTTCATTTGTTTTATTCAAAATTGTTATGAAATACGTATGTGTATGCGTCGTCTAATACTGTACCTGCACGCTTTCATTTAAACGCCAAAACAACTCTTGTGTAATCAATAAAAAGAGAACGGCAGTAAAAAATAAACTTTATTTTAATGATTCATCACTACAACCTCTGAAATGAGTACCAAAACATTGATTTCTTATAAAGAGCATTATGAAAAGTGTAAGCATTTATATATAGAATAAATTATGACAGCTATTCAAATATAAAATACAGCAATTTCATATAAATTTTAAGTATTTACCAAACATGAGAAAGAAATTTCCAAGTAATAGACTCGGTGACTCATTTATTTTAAGAATATGTATCGTAGGCTGTGGGTGTAGTGGATATGGGTGGGTGGGTGTTGTTCATTTCTTCCATCAGACCCCACGCCCTCATAGACCCACAGACCCACACTCTCCAGAAGATCTAGTTAGAATAATTACGAATAAATTATTAACTAAAGATAACAACAATATTTTATATTATCTTGGGTGTGTGAGTGTGGGTGTAGGGTATGGGCATGTGTATTCTCTTCAGATGCAGTACACCATTACTCACACTCACGCTCACACCCTTGGAGTTTATAATCTTTTGCAATTAGCAGCGTCTAACAATATGCAATTTCATTTTATTTCAAGTGCTGCATCAGCTTGTTCAGGTCTATTGCCTATTGTTAAAGAAGAACCATTACTGAGAAAGGCAGAAATTGCATTAGCGCAAGGCTATGAAAAAAGCAAATATGTAGGTGAACATTTATGTTGGCCAGCAATGAATTAATGGAGTAAGTTTTTAAATACAAACAAAAATCAATTTTAACATATTCTATATGTATTTTCCTTAGATGCATCAGTTAATATTTATCATGTCGGTCAAATAAGTGGTGATACACAAAATAGTGTTTGAGATACAGCTGGAATGGCTTCAATGATAATTTATGCTGGTACTGGACAATTAAAAAAGATGCAAAGTATTGGATAAGATGTTAATTGGATATCTGATGATGTTTGTAGTGCTTCATTAGTTGATTTAGCTTTAAAATCTTCTTTTCAAATTTCAATACCGGTTACTGAACGTCTTTATCATCTTCTTAATCCATATGTTATTACACATGATAATTATTTAAATTTACTTCGTGAAGCAGATTTAAATTTTGATACTGTCTCTCCAAAAATATTTATTGATGCAATTTTAACAACAATTGATACAATAAATCTACTTGTGAAATTATCTTCATTTTTTGAACAGTCATTTAATAAGAATGGTATATTGGACTTATTAAAATATGAGACTGTAAAAACAGTTGAAAGATGTGAAATTTTTAAAAAATTGTCCACTAATTAATTCAAATTTAATTAAGTTATATTGGAATTATTGGAAGAAATGTCAAATATTAAAATAATGAAAGTTAACTTCAGAAATAACTTATTCAATTTTTTTTTCGTTCATTACAAATTTGTCATTTTATTTTGACTTTTAATATACGATTTGATTAAACTACAATTTAACTTAGTTATATACCGAAAGAAAATATTTTAGAAGTAAACAGACATCTTTTTTTCTAGAGAGAAAATAGTTAACAAAATAAAAAAAAAAGAGCTAAGATAAAGTCTGAGTTTGTAGAACGATATTATTTTAAGATAACTGCCCATGTCGTGAAAATCGCCGCGATTTTGGTGATTTATCGAAAAAGGAACGTAAAATCGCGATTAATCACATAAGATTGAAAAATCACCGATAAAATCAGATTTTATCGTGATATTGAAAAAAAACGCGATTAATCGTAATCGCGAAAAAATAGTAGCCTACTTCTTCTTCAGTCATGAATAGATTACTAAAGCATTTCTTATATCTGAAAAGATTGAAATCATATATCACTCTGAATTAATATTTATACCTCGATGTTTTTCAAAAATATTTATCTTTATTCTTGAGTTTTCAACATTATCATTCAAATACAAAAAACAAACAAAAGAATTGTTTAGTCTATTTTCTGTCTATTGGCAGCAAAATGAAAGGTTTAAGGATTAGTTAGATCATGAAACATTTTTTTGAAAATGGTGCTCTTTGATATTTGATATATTCATTGATAAGTTTTTCCATTGTGGCATTGAAGTGGCGATTTATCTCTTCATTTTCTTCTTCTTCTTCTATTCTTGTTGATTTTTCTAGACGTTTGCCTTGACGATGCCATTGCTGATTGGTCTACAACAAAAACGATAATATACAATATATATTCCATTTGATTGAAATAGAATCTTAACTTTTTTTGTGCCTTTGTGATGCTAGTTTTTAGGAATTGTGAGTATCACAGAT